GAAGAGGTTTTTATTCTCACTACTTCCTCACAACCAAGAAATCAGGGTTGGAAACCTATACTAGATCTCAGGAGACTGTCTCTGTTATCAATGCTTCAAAATGGTGACCCTCACCACAGTCATACCTGCCCTCGAGAAAGGAGATTGGCTGTCCCTCCTCGACCTTCAGGATGCTTACTTCCACATTACAATACACCCCTCACACAGACAGATTCACAGTGACGAACCAATATTTCCAATACAGAGTTCTACCTTTCAGCCTATCGACCGTCCCAAGGGTATTCTCAATTGTGCTAGCAGTGATTGCTGCTCACCTCAGAACAAGAGGAATCACAATTTTTCCCTTTTTCAATGGTTGCCTCATAAAGGGACAGTCCCCTTTACCATATGCAGCAGGCAGTGACATTTACCAGGACATTATTTGACAGACTCGGGCTATGCATAAACCTGGCAAAGTGCGTCTTGGTCCCAACACAGACACTAGACTTCATAGGGGCACACCTGGACTGCAAAATATCGATAGCCTCTCTTCCACAGCACAGATTCACAGCAATTCAAGACTTGGTGCATCTGTCACAGTTCAGCCCCTGTATAACCGCCAGGCAGTGCCTGTGCTGCCTCGGTCACATGGCAGCCGCCAACTTCATAGTGCCTTGTGCACGCCTGCATATGGGACCAATGCAGACTTGGGTCAGGACAGTGTACAGGCCACATGTACACCTATTGAACAAATCTCTCAACATGCCAAGCAGCAGAAAAATTTCTCTTACCTGGTAGACACAAATAGACAATGTATGCAGAGGGGTCCCCTTTCAAGCCAAACCTCCAATACTTACTATTACCACAGATGTCTTATTAACAGGTTGGGGGGCTCATTTGCAGGACCAGGTAATCCAAGCCAAGTGGACACCGAACAAGCAACAAGTAAATATCAAATTGCTCGAGCTCACAGAAGTCCGGTATGTGTGCATGCACTTCTGCCAGATAATATGCAACAATACAGTCTGCATACTGACGGACAACACGACAGCAATGCACTACATCAACAAGCAGGGTGGTGTCCATTCTTGCCAGCTCTGTCGAGAGGCAGTACAGTTATGGGAATGGTGCATCCTTCGGCACATTCACCTCATAGCCACATCTATCCCAGGCAAAGACAATATGTTAGCGGACTATCTCAGCAGAAACTTCTACCTCAATCATGAGTGAAGATCAACAGATCGACCATCAACCATCTGTTCCACAGTTGAGGGTTGCCACACACAGAAATTCACGGTGCCCTTGCTATTGCTCCAGAGCAGGATTGGGCCTGGGCTCTCCGGGCTCACATTCAGTATCAGAAGGGGGACACTCCACTAGCATATACCTTTCCACCAATTCTTCTCATCCTGAGAATGATACTCAAAATAAAACAGGAGAGAGCCAAAGTGATACTGCTAGCGCCACGGTGGCCAAGACAGACTTGGTATCTGGCCCTTCTACACATGGCCAGGAGTCCCCCACATTGGTTCCCTCCCCTTCGGTCACTGCTCACGCAACAGAATGGGAATATTTGTCACCTTGCCATCGAATATCTTCACCTGCACTCATGGCTCCTTGCTGGCTAAGTACGACAGAGATCCAGTGTCCTCCGGAAGTTCAAACTATCCTCACAAACATTTTCAGACCTGTAACGAAGAAAACTTATACTGAAAAATGGCAGCATTTCACTAGCTGGTGCTCGACTCTACACTGCACCCCCACTCATAATTACCTGCTTACTACACCTTCGCAACTCCGGTCTATCCCTCAGTTCTATCACATTCTCCTTCGCAGCCATATCCATATTCCACCTGCCTGTACAGGAACATTCAGTTTTCACTCATCCATCAATCGAGATTTCTGCAAGGTTTGCATAATATATTCCCACCAACTAAAGAACCAGTCTCTGCATGGGATTTTAACCTCGTGCTAAGTGCAGTAAACAGGCAAACCATTTGAACCACTAGCTACGTGCTCCCTTTTACGCCTATCCATGAAGGTGGCCTATCCATGAAGGTGGCCTTCCTGGTGGCTATTACCTCCGCATGAAGGGTGGGAGAATTGCATGCGCTTCTCCGACCCACCTTATACAGTCTTCCACAAGGACAGGGTGGTCCTCTGGACCCATTCTTAATTCTTTCTCAAAATACTTACTGTGTTCCATTGTAATGAACCAGGTAATTTACTTGTCTTCTTCCCCAAACCTCATAGTGATGACATGGAAAAGATTCTCTATACCCTTGATGTCCTCAGGGCGATGACCTTTTACTTGCAACGAACACGCTCATTCCGCAAAATGACTCGCTTGTTCGTCTCCTCCGCAGAGAGATCTGAGGGACTACCGATCTCTAAACTGAGACTGTGGATCGCAGACTATAGAAGACTGGCTCATGCCATATTCAACAAACAGACTCGTTCGGCCATACGTACCCATTCCATGAGGGGAATGGCAGCTTCCACAGACTTCCTCCGCGGTATCCCTATGGATGAGTTCTGCAGAGCAGCCACATGGGCTTCCTCTCACACTTTCACTCATCACTATACAATCCAATTGTATGCAGACTCTCACACTTGATTCAACTGCTCAGTACTTTCAGTATCTGAAACAAGCCTTCTGAAGGTCCCACCTTCAAGCACTGATGCTGCTCTATAGTCCCCTAAAGATTAAGCACCCATAGAGACACTCCTCGAAAAAGAAGGGAAAGTTACTCACCCTGTGCAATAACTGGAGATCTCAGAGATGGTTGTCCCCGTGGGTGCTCCATCACCCACCCTCTTCCCCTCTGCTTTGGATTCTGTTTGGGTCCTGATCAGAGACGAACTGAGGAGCCAGCTGGCCATGCGTGCGCATCACACTCCCCAGGCTTCTCACGCCTGAGGCCAGGTCGGGAGTAGGGCACTGCTACCAAGAATCTCCGACTGGTGGGCGCAGCGGCGCTGGTGCATCTAAAGGTGGAGCACCCATGAGGACAACCATCTCAAAGAACTCCTGTTACTGCACAGGGTGGGTAACCTTCCCTTTCGTGGGCAAAAAACCCTTTGCCCACACAAGCTTATGATACTATATATATTTTTATTAGTGTCTAAGGGCACTAACATAGCAGTGTTTTTTCAGAATAACTGACATTATTCCGAAATAACATAATGTATGTCTACACTACAAGCTTTTATTTTGGAGTAATGTGCAACTGGAGGACTTCTTACTCTGACTCATGATAACCCTCATTTCACAAGGAGTAAGGGAAGTCAAAGGAAGAATGTTCTTCCTTTGACTTCCTGCTATGGAGACAGCACCAAAAGCTGAATTAAGCTATTTTGACTTAAACTATGTAATTGATGTAGGTGAAGTTGCATAGTTTAATTCTGCTGTAGTCCTGCTGTGTAGACGTACCCGCAGGTGTCACAAGACTATGTGTTGTTTACACAGTATCTGGTGCCTCTTCTCATTTCTTGTTACCCATGATCTTTGTATTTGTTTACAGCCATTTTAGTTGTTTCTGCTTGGCTTTAGTTTGATTCCTCACCCAATTTGATTCAATGATTTCACTGCCAGTGTTGCTTATCTGACTGTTGGTGTCAGTGCCACTTACGCTATCTTTTGTCATTGTTGTGCAAAGTCGACTTCTCAGTTGTTCCTTTCTCCCATACTGTGTCCTCTCTTACTTTATTTTCCTCTCAGTGTTAGAATCAGGTGTGGACATTGTGTACCACAACTCTCTCTCCTGAATTCCTAGTTTTAAATCTTACAATCCATTTGAGGCAACTTCCATTCCAGGAATCTATTTTCTTCCCTATTCATTTGTAGATTGTCCCACGAGAACAGAATGCTTTCCAGGGGTTGAACATCCCAAAGCCCTTTTTATTGCATCCTTTGTCTGAGTTAGCTATTGATCATCATTATCTTGTTCTTCTTTTCACTGTCCTTTTCTAGGGATAAGTAGGATCCCACTGACAATCCCTAAGCATCCTTATCTTTACACATCTTCCCTAGCGTGGTGTGGTCGTCTTTGATGTATTTCACTTAAATCTAGTAGTATCATTTGTTCCCATGTAAGGGACCATCAGTATTCTTCTTTTCTGTTCCCATTAGGAGACTCTTCAGCCTCATGTCTGCATTCCACATATTAGCTCCCAATAGACCGCATGCCCTTCTTCTCCCCAGATCAGGTCTGGGAACAAGCCTATCTGTTTATGTACTCTTCCTGGTGTTTGTGCAGTTGTTTGGCCTTCCTCCTCCTGTTCTTTCTGGCCATAAGTCTTCTTGTTGTTTCTAACTTGCAGTCTTTTGTGAGTCATCCTGTATTATTTATTCTTCTCTTCTTATAAGACTAGTCAAATGCATGACCTGCTCTGGATGCTACTAATGAAAACATTCTGATCTGTGCTGGGGCACATGGACACCATCGGTGATAAACATATGCAGAACATTTCTAAGAACCATTTTTACTATCCAACAGTAATAATTCTGTATTTATCTGTAACCAAATAGAGTTCCTCAAGATGAGCCTCTGCATATTGACACTTTGTGCTCCGTGCCCCACTTCCATGGAGTTTGAGATTAGGAATTCCCAAATTATGAGAAGGAACTGGAGGGCAGTTGAGGCTGTTCCTTGTTGTTCACACCCTCAGAACCCTCCAGGATAAATAAGTAACTTAAGTGTTGTCTACGTGCAGAAGTTGCATCAATTTAACTTGGCTTTAAACTGTTTTAGTTAAACTATTGCAAATCCCTTTGTAGATGCTCTCATTTCATTTTAAGAGTGCCTTTTTCTGGCTTAATTTAAACTTGTTCCCAATCAATTTAAACTAAAATAAAATAAATTTGGTTTAAGTTGATAATATTGTTTCCATACAGTCGTTTGTGCAGCATACTTAAAATAGTTTAAAATCACACCTTAAGTTGAATTCATGCAGTTTCCATGTAGCTAATGCCTTAGTTTTAATTATTTCCTATAATAGTTCTTTTTTCTTTTTTTAAGGTCTTTCAAAAATTGTCATTAATCTGATTAAAGGAGAAAGTTTGTTCAATGATGCTACCACGGTAATTGTTTTTGAACTTTACAAGGATCTTGTATTTGGTCATCATACTGAATATGGTAAGGCAATATTTTCCATAATATTTCTTCTTTTTTGATCCTAAAGTACTCTGAAACCTGTGTGATCCTAATTACGCTACATAATTCTGTTTTCTCTGGTAAATACAAATTAAATTGACACTTTTTGAGGCAAGATAAATATATTTAAAACATTCAAAAATAAAGATACATAATACTGAATGATATTCGTTTTTATATTACATAGTTTAATAAAACTGTTTGGGTTAAAAGAAATCCTTTGTTTTACATATTTCATGTTGCTTTAGAAATTTCAAATGTGTGACGTTTTAGAATCAACAATGTATGAATTATATCAGTTGAGGAGCCAGAGGGTGTGGTCATTGGATTGAGCATGTGTGTTGCAAGAATCAAATTTTGTCAGTAGCTTTTGAGAGGGATATATTTGGAAGACACATTTACATGTCCAACTTTAAGCTCGTTGGGAGTTTCAAAAATCCAATTGGGTGCCCTCTGCTGGCCACTCTCCAGTCTGTGGTGAGGAGGTCCAAGCCTCTGGATGTTTTAAGCCTCCAAAGTCTGCATGGAGTCCAGCCTCTGCTCCAATCTTGGGTTTCCTAGGCACATCCTCAGGGTGCAAACTCTCCCTTCTGAGAAATGGAATCCACTGTCCAGCTGGCTTGTGCCCCCCAGGCATAGACTGAAAAGGATTGAGACCTCTCTTAGCAATAATGTGTCTCTTCCTTGTCACCACCTCCCTCTTCCTTCTGCCCCTCCTTCTTCTCTCCACATCTCTCTCTCCCCAGACTCACATCACTCAAGATCACTGCCCTCCCCCACCAACTGCTTCCCCTGTCCTGCCCACCACAGAATTTGAACAAGTTAAATAAAGAAACAAAACCAAATTACCCTGGCTCAAGCCACTGCTTACCTGTGGGAAAGCTCTAAAAGGTTCCTCCAGCTTAGGTGGAGGGGATCCATTCCTCCTGGCCATTTATTGTTCTGCCCAATCCCACTTCTCATGCTAGCACAAGGTACCTGCTGCCACAAATGATCCAGCCCTTCCTGCAGCGCACACACACAGCATAAGGCTATCTGGCTGGCCTAACTGCGTCTTTGACAAGTCCTTTGAAAAGTGATGATGGGGGAGGCCTGATAGAGCCCCGATCTTCACATTTCTAGCAGAAGGGAGCATGGGCCACTGGCTGCATAGAGGTGGGGAGATCAACCTGAAACTCCGGCTTCCTCTTGCACAGGAACTAGGCAGTGAGGCTCCACCTGACCCTGATACAGAGTAAAGGCTGGTCCTGCTCTTCTGTGCCAGGTGTGACTGGGCAGGCTCAGCCCAGCATGATCCAAGTGTGGGAGGGGTTAGTGTAGGGGGATCTAGATGTGGGGCAGTCTGGGTGTGGGTGGCTCCATGGGAGAACTGGATGCACAGGGGCTCGTTGGAGGGTTCAGGGTGTAAGGGAAATGGGACTTTGAGCTCAGGGGAGGAGACAGGGGAAGGTGGGGCTTGGTATGGGGTCCTGGTGTTCTGGGGAAGTGGGACTTCATAGGATAGGGGATCCTGATTCAGTTTGCTGGGGTTCAGTAGGGTAGGGGGCTTGGTGGGGGAGTCCAGGGGTAAGGAAGCAGGACTTGTCAGGATTAGGGTTAGATGGGCCTTCTTAACCCCAGCTGCTGCTGAGGGGACACTGTATACTGGATTCCTGCTCCCTCCCCCACCCTGATTTCTCATCCCCTTTTCTTCGCCATCCTTCTCCTCTCCCCATTCTTTCCCTGCAGCCTCTTCGCTCCTGCCCTTTATTCTCACCTCTCATCCAACTCCACTTGAAGGGCACAGGAAACAGGAAGTATGTGGGGAGAGGACAAGAAAGGGAGGGGAGCGGGCAGCTATCTCTGCAGGGCTCATTGCACTAGGCAGAGCCCTGCCCCCCGCCCCG